TTTGTTTTTGCCTTCTTGATCTCTGTAAGTCTGGAATCGCCTTCCCATCGTTATATCACTCGCTGAGTGTGAGGTTTGGCCACATTCCTAAACCCCTCTTTCTGAAAGCATGCCATCCTATAGTTCCCATCGATTACGACTCTTAAGGCGAGGTTATGGGTCTCCGAATATCTGTTTCGTCAAGCACTTTCGCTGTTTTCTTTGTAAATACTCCATTGGCACCTATTTTCGATCCATCGTGGCGCAGTCTACGAAATTTTATCCTGATGATCCGTTCTTCCTCTCTTCCCTTACTACAGCCACAAGGCGGTAACAAAATTGGCCGTGACACTTTGCTGTGACCATCGTGTTGTGGATGGAGCCGTCGGTGCAAAGTGGTTGAAGGAGTTCAAGAGTTTAATCGAAATGCCAGCTCGCATGTTGTTGTAGGTGTGGTGGACGGCGTAGGGAAGACAAGAAAACGTTTTGTTTTTTGCCGGTACAGCAGCACGCACACACACACATGCATGCTCTCCCAAGTGCTTTGCCATTTTGCCTCCACCCTTTCCCCATCATCGCTTTCATTGTTCGCGTGTCTCCGTCTCCTCGTTCCCTGTTCACCATCTTCCCTCCCGCCTCTCACTCTTCCCCTTCTGTGTCTCGGTGTAACCTCCCCCTCTCCCTTCTCTAGCTGCAGTTATTACTCCACTCCTCTCTTGGAGGCTTCTTTTTTGTACTAAACCCTCTACCTCTACCAACAGGATGTGCGGGGAAATTAGGTGATGAAACAGTCTTTTACCTTTTGGGTAGACTTTGGAAATCGTTGCGATTCCATTTTGAGGGTTCTTTTCTTGCTTTGTGTCTGGTGGAGGAGTAGACTTGTATCCTTCCTGTGTTTAGACTAGAAATAAACCGTCAGTTGTTTTTTTTGTCCTCCTCCTGTGCGTATGGGGGTTTACTGTGTCTCCACCGCGATGATAGTAGGGATCCTTCAATCCATTTTTGAGGTGGTAGCTCCTCACTCTCGGGTCGGGTGTTACATTTGTGTTGAGACTTCATCATAAGGCGGGTGGTTTGGAGGGAGGTCCTGACTTCTATGCGTTGAGGTGTTTCTGTGTTTACATATGACATACTTTCGTGTTGTGGTAAGTCCGGTCAGGTGGTGAAGGCGAGTTTTCTCACATCGACGGAAGTCTTGTCTTCTTGAAGGCCATGGTTTGAGCACGCAATCACTGGCGCACCTTGTTCTGAGGTGTTTGAGGTGTGTGGTTTTGAAAGAGGAGTTCTTTCAGGACTTGAACGTGAAGTTGTGCTGCTGAAGGCGCCTGCGACTGTCCCATTCTACAGTTGAAGTCTTCATCCAGGGAGGCGACCGTTATGCAATTTGCTACAGAGAACAAGCATTCAGCAACATCAACGAGTTTTGAAGCACAAGAGGGCCGTTGTTGGTGGAAGGGAAGAGGAGGTTCACTTAAGATCGGTTTGTGTTGAATGGATGTCAGATATCGTCTCAGTGAACCATTGTAGCTGCGACCCACCTCAGAATCGTCGGTTTATTCTTCCCAATACAAGACACCTCTCGCCAATTAAGTCGATCTGGCCGCTCCGGGAAGCGAGGGGAGGAGAATATCATCCGACAGTCTATCCACTCAAGCATCATAGGTTTGCCCATCTCGAACTTGTCCACTTATTTATGCTCTGTCCAAATGTCTATACATCCACCCATTCCCACAAAATGGAAGAAGACTTCGTGGACGCCTTAGTAGGGTACATTCACCCTCGCCAAACAGAAAGACAACCTGTCGGTGGGGCGCAGCCACACGAGAAAATTTTATTCATGCAACATGCAGACGTCTTGAGTGTCACTTCAAAAAGTAAAAAAAAAAGCTAGTGAAAGACCTCAGGTGCCTCTACTTTCTTTTTTTCCGCTTCCTCGTCTTCTTGTCTGGTTCTACAAAATGAAGAAAGGATCAAGGTAGGTGTCGATTCCGAGGCATCTGACCTCGCCAGAAGCCCTTCAAGAGTTAACCTTACTTTCATCAGACTTTCGTCTCTGGGACGTGGTTTTTGCAGGCTTTGCGTCCTCGGCATTGGTGCCAGCATCTTCCGACCAATCGGTGTCGAGAGCGGGAAGATCTCGGAACTCGTTGGCGTACTTTAATCGAGTTGCTGCTTGAATCACTCTCAACGACGCCTAAATAAGAATGAGCCTGGCTTCATTTGACCTTCTACACACTTCTAAACTGCCTCTACTGAGACTAGGCCTCATAATGAGTTTCAGTCAATTGAAGCCCTTTCCACTAAAATTGGAACGCTCCTTTTTTAATCAATCTCCACCAGGCTGTGGTTTCGTTGACATCTAGACGGATCCCAACCAATCAGCTCCAACTTATTCAAACCACCCACTTGGACGTATGCCTTCAAGGAGCTTCCACTTGCCTCAACTTATCAAGACGACATTATCCAGTTTTCACAATATTGGCAGACTTAGTGATATCACCTTCAGCCCCCTTCTGAGCCAGGATGACTTCAATCCGATCAAATCTTGGCAGGATCAACTGACTCCTTACTATGGACATGCCTCCATTTCTTTGGACAAGATCTTCGAGGATAGTAGTACCCGCACAACTAGTGCAACATGCACTCAGATGATGTATCAAACGGTACCTTCGTTTTCGATTCAAAGCGTGGGAAGAAGTCGGTAATGCACGGAGTAGTACTGGTCGTTGTGCCGTCGTATGTGGCCTTGAACCGACCAATCACGGGAGCCAGGGTTCCCTCACTGACCTGTTTCGACCATCCCAGTTTCTCCATTGCATATGTGCTCGCGGGCAGTAGGGCAGTTAAGGAAACCAAAAAGGAAGTGTGAAGCACAAAAAACCTGAGTCGAACATTTATGCCTTTTTCTGGGAGGGTGTCTCGGGTTTACTAGTAAGAGATACGTGCAAAGGGGTATGAATGCGTGCGCTTAGATTTTTGAGAGAGAAAGAGCCAATCGGCTAAAAATCTTAATTATTTGGTTGCAATTCTATTAATAAGTTGACATTGTAAATTAGGCGATCGTGTTTGAAAAGGATATTTTACAAGAGGGAGCATGTTTGGCACGTTCCAATGGAATTCCGCCAACTCCGACGAATTTTCCACCCTCGGGAATAGGTATCCCCTTACCACCTTCCCGCTGGGAAAGTCTGTTAAACAATGTCTTTTAAGCAAATAGGATTACCAGCAGGGAATTTAATACTGGCCCATCGACCACCACCGCCACCCTGACACGTTCGCTTAAATTCTTCCAATGGGAGCACAATCTCGTGCTCCTCGGGCGTCAAAGCAGAGTCAGAGCTTGTAGTAAAGGCGGAAAGTATTTCTAGTGCTTTGATGGGCCCGATTTTGTCAAGCCCATTTGTATAGTCGCTGCCACAGAGAAGAGCTATTCGTACGAATTGATGTCTGTCCAAGCCTGGTACAAGATTAAGGAATGAATGCTGCTAAGAAAATAATAATAATAATAAGTAAAAGACTAGCCTTATTCACCCAGTTGTTCGCGTATATCTTCAAGAGAGTACAATGAGGTTGGACTCAATTTTCCTTTATTTCTATCCCCACCAAAGAGATGTCGGCACACAATGGTGGCTCCAAACACCCAGACGTCTGAGTCGTCGCTGGCGACTATGTCCACCAATCCAAGTTGTTGAAGGTGACAACACTGAGCTTCAGCCTCCTCTGGACTGTTGATGAGAGGGAAACCGAAAAGTTGAACTAATGTCTGAAACGGATTGAAAAGAGATGAGTTGCAGTTCACAAATTGATACATGTATCCAAAGCAAGTGTAAAAGAAGGTTAAATGGGAACGTTATGAATAAATGAACTAAGTAAATAAAGTAGTGGAGAGAGGGGGGAGAGATTTGAGGGAACAAAAGATTGGCTCATTTGAATTTAGGCATGATTGGGGATGGAGGGTCTCACCTGAGCCTCAGCCACGCAACTGGTGGTGGTTTCCTGAGCTTGGCGTTCAAGCTTTTCCAGTTCCACCCGTAATACGTCGTCGTCAATAGCCAAATCTTCCTCAATTTCCGAATCCAGAAAAGTCTGCGTTTTTGGTAGCATTTCGACTGATGGTATGGGAGTTGGGGGTCCCGAAACATCGGCGAATTCCCCCGAATCGGATGAAGAAGAATCTGCAGTTACTTCTGCCTTAGCTGTCTCCACTTCAACATCTCTTTGTTGACATTCGAAGCCTCCTGTCCTGTCGAAATCCTCAGTCTCTTTCAGTTGACTAGAAAGAGGTTCAAGATAATTACTAGCCTCTAAAGTAGTGGAATCGGTGAGAGAGTCAGTAAATTCGTTCAACTCGGTCGAAGATGCATCGAAGTTCGGTTGCTTGCTAGGCTTTGACTCTCCCTCTTTTTCCACATCATCAGCTTTTGGGATAACAGTGTTCGCAACTACTTCTTTCATATCTTTTTCAAGCTTCATGGTGTGATTTGTTTGATCTCCAAAATCCACGGCCTCTTCACCGTTTGCTGAAGGTGTGCCGCTATAAGCAAGATGACGCACTTTCGATTCCGATGAAGAATATTTTTTGGAATTCTTTAGCAGACTTTCCATGATTTCTGTATCACAATCGTTGACTGCTTGAAAAATGCCTCGTGGACTCTTAGCCAGTTTTGAACCATTTTCTAGGACTTCCTTGGCATCACACATAGGCTCATAGACTGGATTTTCCAGGAGTCTAGAAGGTAAAAATAAAGCAAACAAAAGATTCTACCGGTTAAGGCGCTCTTTCAGTTCATCGGCCCGTTCTTTGGATGACCGCTTACGAAGGAGAATTGTATGGCCCTCGTCCTGAGAGGCAATTCGCTGTGCAATGACGCTTATATCCGACCCAGAGGGTAAATTTTGCGGTACAACCGAGACAACCAGAGCCTCATTCATTCTACTTTCGAGCTCTTCCTTCTTGAGAGTCAAATCGCGACGAGCAATGAGTCGACTCACCTGAGTCTGTGAAAACACCGCTCCTGTTGGTGCCTCAAATAAACCACGTACTTATTAATTTTAGGTAGCAATTATTAACTCCCAATAGGAGGAGAACTTACAGACGGCGAGGAAGGCTGGACCGGTGCGTTTAGAAGGATCAAAATAACTTGTAATTGAGCCTGAACCGGCAGTGAATTAAATGCTTCTGATTGCAAGTCAATGGAGTGACTGTTGCCCTATAGGAATTGAGACAAACTTTGCCCAAAACACCTAAAATGGGCTTACAACATAATCCCAGGCTAATTGTGAGGCGGACTCCTGTTCTTCTTCAAGTTGTAAAACACCTGTTGGTGGCCTAAAACCAGTTACAATGAAGCGCTATCATATGTAACATTCATTTCATATGGGAATAGTCCTAAAGAAGTAAACGATTGTGGTAACTATTATGGCAACCACTTACAAGTGTGTTTCCAAAATGCATGGGATGAATCAGTGCAGCTCAAAATATTTCATAAAGATGGTGGACCATGGCAATGGTTGAGAAAAATTACAGAGCGCCAAACAATAAGGGATATAGTGCTAGTGAAACATTTCAACGCATTCATGCGCAGCACGGCGATCGTGATTGGTATGGTTCTCAATTAGCAAAATCCGAGCTAATCAGGGACGAATCAGTCCTAATAACAACGAATTAATGGTAATTCACTGAAGTAAGGGAGTTATGCGAGGAAAATAGATGGATGTAAGACCCACATCTAATTTGAATTTCAAAACGTCACATAGATACAATAGCCTAAAAACAGGTGTAGTGACGACCATCAATTACATTATGTGTAAGAAGACGTACACTGCATCGATTGAACTACTCTGAGATCCATACATTTCAACATCCAACTCGGCTTTGCGAATCGCCTCCATGCTGTTGAAACGTTCCACAAATTCAGCAGCCAGTTCTATATGGAAAAAAGGAGGAAGGAGAGAAGCCATAACTACTTATGACCACATTGTGAGCAGTGCAAAAGAGAATGCATGTTCAACAACCTTTGCTTTTCGACTGAGATTTGGTGGCGCATTCAGCGAGGCGACGAAAGAGACGTTTTAAAAGACGGTCCCTAGCTTGATTACTTTTCTCCTGGGCTGTGACTCGATAGATGCGACGGGTTGCCTGAAAAAAAACAAAGTGAGGTATCATCAAGCCGCTCACATTCAAATCTGATCAAGAGCAAATAACGTAGTATGTAAACTATCCAAAGAAGGACACGCACTGTATGGAAGACAAACAAGTCTATATATTTAATGAAACATTTGCTCTCCAAAGTCACTACAATTGCTTCGTAAAAGAATTAACCTACACATTGACTAAGGACGAATAATCAATCGCGAAGCAAGATGATACGCCCTCAAATTTTTGAATGAGGCATTTAATTTCTGACCAAACACTCCAGCTTACCTGTTCTCATTAGTATCATAAAAAAATAAACGTAAGATTCAATAAAGCAGAGCAAATTGAGTGTTCAAAAATTGTCAGAAACCCACCATGGTAGCTTTCTTAAGTTCAGGAACAGCACCATCAAAAACAAAGACAGGTCGAATGCCAAAAAAGAGAAGCTTGCAGATGCGTCGAAAAAGAATGGCCAAATGCAAGTTGCGACCGCCTCGGGCTCTCGCTTTCAGCGCCTGATGCAGCCAAATATTCATGTCTGGAAAACAGAAAAGAGTCAGCAAAAAATGGACCTACCAATAGCTATTCGCTTGCCTCTAAAGTATTCTAGATCAACTCTACGACGGGAAGGTTCTAGAATTCGCCACAGTCCTTTTACACCCATTATTTACTGCGCACAATTTGCTACAAAAAAGAAAATCATTTTACTGTGGTGAGATGGTGTCATAGCGCCATTACATTTACAATAAGACTACGGTACCAAATAAAGCCTCTAAAAGGTTCAAAATCACGAAAAAGTAGGTATAAAGATCCCTAAATAGGGGTGCTTGTGCTAAAATCTGATAACGTAAATCATTGCAAAACGCAGGCGCACGAAAGGCATAAAAATAAAATTCATCCTCATCACTTGAGCTGGACCAGTAGTGTTGACGCTGATGCAAGCCGAAAAAAATCCAAGGAATAAAGGCAATTTCTACGAACCATTGACACACCGAAATGCCCCCTCCTGTGTTCTAACTGGACAGTGACACGTTTTAAAAGAGGTTCTTTAGTTATCATTGACTTAAACAAATCAGTTTAAGGAAAAATTAGAGCATTTAATTATAGTATGCTGCTTTGCAGTTTTTTTGCAAAATTCGCGTATACTGTGTATATTTAACACAAAGCATTTACAGATCTTAAGTTTTGTGTGGAAATTTGCTATTCCATTTCGCGCTATTTGTTTGAAAATGATCATTTGCCAAAAATCACTTCTAAAAGTGCCATTATTAATTTGCTCTCTATTTTGTTGCCATGTTACTATAGCTTAATATGGATGTGTTATGCTCCAGCGGTCTTAACCCCTTGTGCCTCACCCCGCTTCGTATTTGCTCCTCTGCATTGGCCATGCGGGCGGGCATTAAATCCTGCCTCTACCTGCATCGTCGTGCTGCCTGCGGGCATGTCTGAGTAATGAGTCAGTCCCATTGACACTATCGCGCCTAGCTTGACAACTTACAGTCACATGGAACACTTCAACCAACCCCAGCGCACCCAAAATTTTGCACATGGCATTAGTAAATGCGGAAGTTAGAGAACCTTTTTGATTCTGTGAGGCTAGTTAATCCTCAATACACATCAGTCAAGATCAATAGAAACCACCGACGGCAACCGGCACCCATATGTCGTCAATCTGTTTAGCTAAATATTCCTCGTGTGAAGAAAAACATTTAAAATTCAAGCCACGTTTCTAGATGACTTGTTCATGCACCTTAAAGTACTATGGTTGGGAGGGTTCATTTCCTCCCCCTCCTGGCAACACCATCTTGTTGCTACTGTTATGCTTTTTTCATGTGACTACCTGACGTTTAGCGGTCATTTTAGTATTTGCCTGGTCCTTGAACACGTGGGCTGGCCTTTGGGCCATGTTCATGCACATTTGTCCTGTCGTCTTCGGAGCACATGTATCCACCTGCACTTATTGGCCTCTTATATCGGCTTAGAAGTCGCGGGGCGCTGCAGCTACAGAAGCGTTTACACTTCGACAGCGAAATGTGGGATATCGAGCTACCCCACTAATGATTCCCATAACATCTTTCGAGATGAACATAGGCAGACAGCTTAGAGAAGAGAGGCGAAGAAGCAACGCAGTAAAGGTATTCTAAAAATAACAATAGACACTTCTAATATGAGTGGTTTATGCAGTGATATTAATCGGAGTACTATAGGAGGTTATGTCGTTGTTGCTTGATGGTTTCAACAAAGGAGAATTTGTGGTTATTTTACTAAAATCCCGCCCATGAGGTTGTTTCGTACTACGCTTGAAAAAGCAAGCGGCTGGACTTTGTCAAGCCTTCCAGACAGAACTGAACTTATGTCACCTTAGCATACCTTTCGACCGATAAATGTGAGGGAATTTCACAATTAACTAGTAAGTAGAAGGAAAACAAACGTCTTTAGAAGTTTTATTTGATGAAAAAGAAGGGCCCAGCCCGCCCACCACTAAAACGTCACGCCCTTAATCAAAAGAAGTGGGTTGGTTTAACCAATAGCATGACTCCTGTGTCCCTCTTGCCTCAATTGCACCTCCGCATATAACACATTAACGTCTCTCGCCGCCACCAGAGACTTAATGAGAATGATGAAATGCCTGTGGTTGATTAAAATGTGTGTATTTTTGGCTTTATGGCTCCTGAGCCATTCATTATTCACCAATATCACGGAGTTTAGTGCCCACTTAACTTTTCAATGTCATTTTAATGGCTCCCTCCACTTTATGAAGTTTAAATTACTAATGGCTTGTCAATGAGTAATTATCATTGCGTGAATACTACTGATTCGTGTCTGTGTGGTCTCCAATTGAGGATTTGTGGAAAGCGGGACATCAAACATGGCGGTTAAAGCAACTTGTAATTCGATCATATACACTAGTTAAACGACGCATTGCGCCAAACTCGTACACTGACTTCAAGCATTCACGTCATTCCTTGTAATCATGTTTACCTTCCGACGCCGAGTGCACTCAATACTTCGCCTCTATTTCCTTCTCTTTACTCTTTTTCCCATCTTAAAAGGATGATTTTAAATTGTAAATGTAGGAGGGATCATACCGCCTGTCAAATGTAGTTTGGCAATCGTACCGATTAAGAGAGTGAATCGAATGCAAATGACAAATAAATCGCTGACATTCTCCCTCTCATTGTTGTGCGACGCTTAAAAGAGGACGTTTGAACCGATAAGAGCGACAGAGGCGACATTAGCAAACATTACCAAAGCCTACTGACAGCCTAGAATTGGGCATAGTTTTCCTCCCCTCACACCCTTTCCTGCGTTTATTTAGTGTGGAAAATGAAAGATTAACACCATCTGCTGCTGGAAGGAGACACATTTGTAGCCGTGATGAGCTGAATAGGATCACGTGATTTCCTGCCACAGCTGAAAGCTGAATTCATAAGTTTGTGAATAGTGCGTGTCGAACGCGAGTTGTGAGTAAAAGACTGGGAAAGGCGGTAGACTGTTGAAAGTAGTCTAGTAGCAGAGACAACTCACGACCTTGGCCGGCATCCATCTACCTAACCAATCCATCCGTCCAGTAATTCATGCCATGGTCAGCCATTTGGCAGTCTCTTTATCAAATTGGTCAGTTAACAGTCCCTCCACTCATCCATCCACTCACCAGTCTAACCATGCGTCCACACATCCCCTCCCCTATTCCAACCACCCACAATCTGGCTGCCAGTATTTAGGCACCTACAACTTGAAAAACTACCCTTAATGTATAGTGTAGGCTTGTCAACCATCACTAAGTATCTTATTCCTTCTTAAAACCAACAATTCGACATCATTATCTCAACCGTCCAAACAAAATTACTCTCCATTTTAAAGAGTACTACTACCTCCTGCAAATTGAAGCCATGGCCTCATTCGCTCAGTCCCGCCTTGGGGCGCGAATACGCCTCACGCATAAGACAATTTTACTGTAGCCTTAAAAATGACCGTTCCGGTTGCCACAGTAACACAATAGGCTATTTGTTCCTAACCGACTCACGGTAACCAGTGGAGGCGCTCGCTTGTTTTTTACTTTGCATCACGTCCTGATTGCTCTTTTGCCACAAAAATAAAAATTGTAGAACTTCACACTGCCTGGCCAATCAGATGCGCGTTGAAGTTGCTACTTTAATCGATTCTCCATTCCACTCTCCGTCTCCTCGCAAATCGATCAGAACTCAAGAGGTGGTGTTTGATTGCTAATCAAGTAATAAATCAATAATAGGTGCGCAACGTTAATCGGATAAGTTAAGCAAAATATCCTTTGGTTTGAGACCGCCTCTTGCGTAACAAGCTGTCAGCTTGGACCAACTTCGTGAATGCTTTCCTCCTGTTCTATACTATTCAACTGCAAGGCGTTCCATACCACGCACTTCTCGCATTTGAAGGGAATTGAAGAAAGAGGTACTGCCATGGCTCTCACCATAAGCAAAGTATCGCAGTAGGTGAGGTTTGCTTGGACAGTGACTAAGACTTCACATTCTTAAATCCCTACCGCTGATAATAAAACCAGTGAGTGTAGAACAGTCAATCCTCCACAATGTTAGTGGAGGCCTTGGCACGTGACGGATGGGCTTGCGATTAACTCCTCCCTCATGCAGAGCCTACTCTGACCAAGTTCCAGTTCAGACTTGCCTTCGAGTATTAGCCTTTCAAATGATTCGGACAAAAGCAGACAAAACATCACCATCTCCTGCTCTGGTGAAAATTTGGCGAAAAGTGACTTTCTATTAATGCAAGCAAATTGCATTTTAACAGGCCGCAATTCGCCCTAATTTTCAAACAATAATGGCGAGCACGATGGTCACCAAAATTCACGGTGGAACACATTTTAGTGAATCACCACATTGTCAACAGTCGCTTTCACTGGGGGTCCCCCATCCCCCCTGGCTCGCCAATTGGCATCATGCACACCCACACACCCACGCTTTTATTCGCTGTCAATCGATAGACTACACTGACGAATAGAAACCTGGTCGGCAACTGATTGGCCAATTACCACTAATGCACAACGTTCATTGGCTTCAGTGGGTAGTGTGACCGCACGTCAGTAGCATGCATGCACGCAAGTGCGCAGAGTGCGCACTTTAGCTCTGGCTGCTTTAGCTGCCTGTTAGCGTCTCTCCGTCTCTCTGTCACTTTTTTGCTCACCTTTTGTCTGTTTCACGTCGCCAACAGACCATGCCAGAAGGGATTTCCGAACGTTGGATGCCCCTTAACCCCGATCCAAGGTCGGCAGCCTATCCTCTGATGGAAAGTTTTTGGCCCACAGCACTCATCTCTCTGGCCTACGTAGTCGGTGTCTATACGTGGATGAAGGTAGCCGAGCCAAAATCGAAAAAGATCTCCGCAAATGGTCATTCAAGCAATGGAAATGCTGTCAGCAAGAAAGAAGTTGCCAAAGCCTCCTCTTCCTCCTACGACATTATTAAATGCCTTATGGTTGTGTATAACATAGCAATGATCTTTTATTCCGCTTTTCTGGTAATTGAAGTTATTGATCTGCTTCGGATAACAGGTTACGGTCTTGGCTGCGTCGAATTCGATCCAAAAGACGACCCAATTCAACGGCGGTTTATTCGAGTGGGCTATCTATTCTACTTCTCCAAGTTCTTGGAACTTCTTGATACTCTATTTTTCCTCTTAAGGGGCAAATATGATCAAGTCACCTTCCTTCATGTTTTCCATCACGGTGCTATGCCCCCTTCAATATGGTGGGGCATTAAATACGCTCCAGGTGAGTTTTAGATCACGACTTCTCCATTTTTTTGTGTTCGATTTTGTGTTTTTTTATTGACACTGTAGGCTGGTTGTTGAGGCCACATAGGCCGCGGTTGCTGTCAGATTAGCGTCAGAGTTTCATTCTTTCTAGCTTTTTTGTTCTCTTAAAACTCACAGCGTGGCCTTTGCCTAGAGGGTATGGTACACCTTGCCGCACAGATAAAGCTTTTGGCAAAACCGGAAGTTGATCGTTTACTCATCCTTGGTGGCGTCAGAGGCCACTTCAGTCCTAATGCAGTCAAATGTATCCGGTTCCGGACCCATTTTTCTCTTTAATAAGTATGTTGTTTATCTAAATACGCACTCAAGATATTGAATGATTTACCGGTATAAGACACAGGCGCATCAACAACACTCATGCTCGAAGGTACCTTCACGAGAGCAGGCTATCCCTGTCCACGAAATGAGAGGGAAACTGTTCGTTGTGGCCAAAAATGTTGAGCTTGTTTCCTATTAATGAGATTGCATGCCCTAGAACTGGCATTAAAATCCGCACTCCTGTGCATTTCAAGGCTTGGTACAAACTAATGATAACCTCCACAACTTTGTGGATGATTTGAGAAGTGGTTGCGGCGTGCAACTAGTTGGTGCGGCAGTTCCGTCGCTTGTGTAATAGATTGTTGAAAATACGGGTGTCTTTTTGGGTAGACTGTGACCTTCTCAGCTAAGTGAACTTAAGATAGGGGTGTCACTAACTCAGGACGTACTGGTTCGCATTCGATTATGAGAAAGTGAAAATTGTTTCGATCCAGTACTTTAGTTCATGCCTTAGCTCTGAATGTCGTTCGTATTCTCCTCAAATGAATGATCTGTATTAAAGAATTTCTGTCCTTAGGCTGGAAGGTGGCAAATCAGTGTTGAGACACTCTTGGTTGCTTGATCAGGTGCCTCATCTTGTCGCTACATTCCATGTGATTTGGCGTTTTTTTTGTAACATGAGCGTCACAGCTGGTGCTGCTAATGGACCACGTGGGGCAAGGTGGTGATGTGACTACACTCAGGTCATCATCATCATCCACGGCCTCTATCTCTACTCATCTCTAATTATCATGTATTACATGACATAGTTCCAAGGCTAGATCGGCTACCTTCTTCACTAGTGGATGTCCTAGGCTGTCTGTTGTACACCGTGCATGATGATGAACAGTAGCGGGGTCTGCTACAGAGACCGGCAAGTTAGGTAAACAGCTTGTAGGTCCGATCGCATAGTACCATGGCAAGGCAAATGACTCTGAAGAGCTGATTCTGTTTAGGACCTTTCACACTCTTGCATCGTTATTATCGCACGAGTGATTTTGGGATAGATAGATCGGGAGCTGAAGTACAGGTCCACGGCTGTTCAGTTAATGGTCCAACGAGAGGGGTGGAGGAGATTCCGATTCCTTTCACGTACTATCTCCTTGTAATTAGGAATAAATGAAGCTATCTACTTAGTTCACAACTTGCTGCCACAATTGCTAGCACCAACTCACAGATACTTGGTATCGCATGGTTGGGTGGATACGCGTACCCATGAGTGTGTACGTGGGTGTGTGCATTGGCTCTACCTTTATTCATCTGGCTTGCAGCCAAACACGTCATTCACTCTATCGCAAAAGTAGCAACTCCTCTCAATCATGTGTGCCATTTGTGATTTCAACGATCCCCTCCATCAGTGATGAGAATCGTCCGAAAACGGTTTGAAGCATAACTTTGCCATAGATTTATCACTGCAATGAAACGTCTTGCGATTCAAGTAGGGTGGTGCTGCGACAAAGGTTCAGGGTTGGTGTTATGGTTTCCCTAAAGTGAATACCGAAGCATTGAGCTGAGGACAGAGCTGCCACATAGATGGGAGAGGCGTGACCAGCTTCCGGGTAACCCTGGGATTTGCCTGTTTTACTATGGAGCAATTGTGTTTGGATCTCCTGTAGACATGAGTGTTCGCTAATTCTACACCCCTCATAAAGCATTTTGTTTTTTACCACGCACTGTCGTCTTAATCAACGACGTCTGACTTGTGTGGGCCAGTGCTCGGTGTTATACCTATTTAGCACCAATATGATCCTCCTTTGCTGCGCTTGTTGCCATGGTACTGCCGCAGGAGGTTTGGATTTATTGCTCTCTGTGCCTCTCCTTCGGCGATAGGTGGTTGGATTTTTGGTGCGTGGCAGTAAAATCACATTGGATTTGTTTAATCCAGCCATTCGACGATGAAGAAGAATTTGTCTTACTGCCCTACGCCCTCACACCTGTCCTCCATAAGGAGCGTGGGGATGGGCGCGACTTTTCATCTTTCTCACTAGCCGCCCAGATCTTATAATTGGGATTGACAAATGTTGAATTACAATAGGTGATAGAAGAAAGCAAATGATCCGCCTCGCTGTTGCTATTGATATTTGGAAGAAACCTCCCAAGAACGTTTTAATGCATTTTTTTGAAGCTGAATTGGCTCGAACGCAAATCTAAAGAAAGAAATTAATTTTTTACCACACCTGCGTTCACATGGTTCGCATTATCCACCACTGGTTCGGTGTCAGCTCAATTCAGTCCTGTCGCTTCACGTGTCAACGTGTCTGACTGGTGCATTGGTATGCTAGGAATCACCTGCGTGTACAAAAAAAATAAATAAAATAAAAAACCAAGTAGAACTTTTAACTCATCAAGCACCGTGTTTTGTGCCACACTGTTCATTCATAAATCACCTGCGCTGCTCCATTACCACTTTTTATGAGTGAATTCATGGCGGAGGACGAAACAGCTGCTCAATGCACTCACAACCAATCCGGATTTGGGAATAGAGACGAGAGAGAGTTACAAATCCACACCCGTGTACATTCCGACTTATCACTTGTGCAGTCAGTGCCTGGTCGGGGACACATCTTTAATTTGCTGGTTCATCAGTGGTGAAAGCGAAGAAGAACGCAGTGAATGGACAGATTTAGAACATTTCGAAGGACCTGAGTGCTGTTATTACCTCAGCTTGGGTTGATCAAATCGGTTGGATTTCTTCACTGCACAGTTCCACTCCTATAGATTTCGGCCCATTGGGTGCTACTTACAACTTGTTTACAAGTAGTGCCGTCAAAATTACTAATTGAGGTTTTTCTTCGGGTGTATCTGTGCTCCCAAACTGTTATTAACCAGTCCTATTACTATCATAGCGACTGGATGTGCTTACCTTTTCAATGTCAACATATATTTACGACGCAAACTACTGATGTCCTTTACAGACACCTTCAAGATGGAGGTAACGCTAGAAGCCTTTCTCTCCTTTTTGCAGGTGGCATCGTATACATGTTTCCTCTGGCCAACAGTTTTGTGCATGTCATTATGTACACCTACTACGGCATGGCAGCTCTGGGACTGTACCGCTACCTCTGGTGGAAAAAGTATCTCACTGTCCTGCAGATGGTGCAGTTTTGTATCTTCATTGTGCATCAGGGCCAGGTTTTAACGCCCTTTAACTGGGAGTGTCGCTATCCCAAGGTCTTTCCTCTCGCCATCGTCATATACGCCGTCATTTTCCTTGTCCTTTTCTCCAATTTCTACGTACAGGCCTACTGGCGCAAACGAAGGCTGGCGAAGAGGGTAGACGAGTTGAATGGATCCGCCGTTACCAATGGAAAGATGAACCATAAGAAGACGGAGTAGGCATAGCTGCCAATCAGAATTAATCACATGGTTTTGTGGTACCTATGTCCCCGCCTCCCCGCCTGTCTGTTAGTCTGTCTGTCCTCCCGTGTCCTTCCAATTATCCTTTTCTGCGCTCTAGGTGATTGAATTTTTTTTTTTGAAAATGATGATGATGCAAAGGTACTAAAACAATCATAGGCCTCCTTTCACTCTCTTCCCTTGTATTTCTCCTTTATTTTCTTCTTCTTATTCCTTACGACCTGCTGTTGATACTCCTTTTGTGACGAAGAAAAATTGTATGACTATGGAAGAAACCAGAGTGGATAACCTCTGACTTAATTGGGGTGTGGGAAGAAAAGTAGAATGAAGAATGTTTTTGGATTTAGTAATTGTTCCCACAGATCCGCCTTCGGTCAGCCGAGTCGTGCTCGTCCACCCTTCTGCTCGTCCTACAATCCGTGCGTCCATTTATTTAGATTTAATTCCATTTCCTACTTGGATTCATGTAAAATATGTCTATCTACTGAGTTCCACATTCATCTACCTCTGTACTGATTCATCCTCCTGATTTCACCTCCAGTTTGCTCTCCTTTTATAAATAATTTAGACTAAATCTACTACGAGGAATCATTGGCTCAATTCTGGTTCCCAACCGTTTAATCTCCTCCCACCCTTGCAGGGGTATCTCACAGAGCTTCCTGATTGGTCAAAGCCACACCTCTCGCTCTAGCATTGGTCATCACAATGACCTTGAGGTTGGCGTGATGGCCAAAAGTTTTGCCAGATTTTATTGCCTTCTTTTTGCAAGTATTCATGGGTCTGACTCAAAACCATGTTGCCCCGCAGTCATTGAAACGCATGAGTTGTGTTTTATCACTGCATGAGGAACCACCGAAGTGATTGCATTGAATTCGTGGTTGAATGGTAGCTATCAGGTCTGAAGTAAATTGGTCTGCGGAACGACAATGGGTTTTGAATAGCCAAGGTTATCGTCGATGTCATTGCGTCGAGCAGTCATTCAAGCATGTATAACGAGAAACTTGACTTAGTGTGAGCTGATGATTTGCCAACTTTCCGTTATAGAATTTAGCATGTAGAGGAGGAACTTGTAAACCGAAACTGATATTCTTCATCAGGATTAATACAAATTCGTCTTCAGTGAGGTTGCGAATTCTAGCACAAATTCGTGTCACTAGCACTGTTCGTGGGTGGAGTGAAAGCGTTCCTACCCTAAACGAAAGCACAGTGACAGCACCTCGTGCCTTGTCAAACGTCATTACCCTCTTCTCAATGAGCAGAAGGGCGGGGGCAGTGACCACAAAATCACGCAGACCAATGTTGCAAAAGACTGCAGTACCATTTGGTGTTTCACAGGCATGTTAGAAATGTGGCCCATTTGGAAAGAATAGGAATTTACGTTTTTTAAAGAAGAAGAACTTCATTCTTCTACTTGATTTGTGTCCTTGATTTTGATTGGCGATTTCAAGGCTTTTGCCTTCTGATTGGTTTTCTTCATAGTTTGATGATTTAGCATCACAAAAATCACATCGTATTTGGGTGAATACGCATAACAAAGTACGCCTTTTTACAATCATTGAATACAGTTTTTTGTGAACGCCACACAGACCATTTCAGCAATGGTTTTGCGAAGAAAAAAGGCGAATAATCTACTGTATTTAACAGTCGAAAGGCATAACTCGCCAGTGAGTCAGTAAAGTAGCCACTAACTTCTTCAAAGTTAGTTTATGCCAGGTATTAAAAAAATTATATCTCTTTTCCTCAACTCACAGCTGGTCAGTAGACATAGGTTTCATAAGGTAATGCCACAAATGAACGAGTGGGAATTTCGGGTTTTTATAAGGTAAAAGTCAAGCACTAGTGATGGAATTAAGAGAATTGGTATAGATGAGAGTGAAGAGGGAGCGCTTGAGAGCACATACACCAATTTGGCTTGGCATTCCCACCAACACCATAACAACTCATACAATCCTGACGTTAATCGTCATTATTCAATTTTATAGCCCACTCATGCAATCCGGTTGATGTAGTGATCCTTTCCGCTGTAGCCAACGTAAAGAGTTGATTAACTGAGAAACTCTGGAAAGCCTTCGTAGTACTCTTCAAAGGACAGTTTCCAACACACTAAGCCATATATTTTAGTGTGGCATTCGACACAACTAATCGGGGTAGACAATTGAAGCATGCGATTATAAAGTGTCTTACACTTGGAGATGCACACACACACACGCAAACACCACGGCATTGTGATGTAAAATCGCTAGGATTGGAGTAGCTTGTGCACACTTAAACAAACCATCCAGCTAGTATTAGGCAGGACTTGCCTCATCTGCCTTATCAAACCACCAATGTTCTCGACAATGAAGATGTTTTCTAACTTCAGACCATTGAATTGTTCCAGATTTGGTAAAAATCGTAGTCCTTCTTAATGGGTAAAGGAGAAAGTGACTCCCTTTATGTGAAGTAAGGCTTGGGAAAGCACCAAATAAACCGAAACATTACGTGTCCAGTGAAAGCGCAGTTTAAAAGACAATAAATTACCTTACTGCGCTATCCTAAATAGTGATTGGGATATTTGATGAGGGGAAATGAGTGACAGAAGAAGACCGAGAAGTGGCGTGGCCAACAGGTAAATAAGCAGATTGACATCTTGATAGACAGCCGATGAGTTAAGGAAAAGAAGGGTGAAATAGTGGACCATCACAATGTACTTTTTTGGCTTAATCAACCTCAATTTTCACCTTCACAAACAGTAAACCCACAAATACAACAATAAGTACACATCCAAGGGAGAAGACGAGAATAATCTTTATGAGAGTTACGAAAGGGCTGACCGAGTCTGGACACCTAAAATGCAATTTGAACTGATTTCTCATTTTAAATTAACTCTACCACTAATCATACTCAGTCTGTCTAAGATCTTTACAAGCATCAGACTTACGTGGCCTTACAGAGTTGCCGTTGTACGTCTTGTCCCTCACAAAGTCCCTTATCCACTTCAACGGCAGCTAGTTGAGTTAAATTAGCTCGACAATGTCGAATACGATGTCGCCAACCGAGTCCCGAACACACTTCAGCAGAGCAACCACTCCATCCCTCCCAAGGAAGCCTACAATAAAGTAAGATGAACGAAACCGGAACTACGGCCCTCCCTAAATTTGGTGGATACGCTAAGGCACAAACTTATGTCAAGGTGAATCAGCTCTATTTTTTATCTCTCGATCATAATTTCCGAAAAGTATGATGGTGATCTCTTCCACCAATGCAAAAGGCTACCTCTAGAAGTGAACACCTCACAAGATTCTCAAGACAAAAGGAGCACAAAATCCTTTCGACATTGACCGACTGCATAAAGCTGAAGTCTAGTTTTATATCCATCGTTGGTCAGAATCTGTAGATTAGGTGGCTCGAGGATACTCCAAAAATCATGCTTTACGTTTCTTAACAAAAATCACGTATATAAGTGCATTTAATTTTGCGAGTGGCCTCGAAAAGGGTCGAATGAGGGTTAGTACTAGCAGAAATTTATTGCAATAGAACGATAACAAGAAAACTGTCGCATCGGGCACTGCTACTTACAAAATCTTAAGTAACATTAATAACCTCATATTATGCACCTATTAGAGGCAAAACTAACCACATTCGGATGTCGGGAATGTCACAATGTCGGCCTCGCCAACCCATTTGACAAACACAGACGTAGCTGAGTTGGTCTCGGGAGGAGAAACATTCTCCGCGACGACAAATGACCTAGAAAATGTAGGGAAACGCATGGTGTTGAAACAAAATAAAAATTTGAATATTTTAATAGGTTAGACAATCTCTTCGAAAGGATCTGTCCAAGGCATATAAAAAATTTAAAAGTAAAACCCACTGTTGATTAGGGTTTTCAAGCAGGCACAAAGTAGGGAAGCTCAAATCGCTTACTCCGGCACAGATCTGTTTCCGACGATAGCAGTTAGGAAATGCTACCGTGTCATCGCTACCATAGAGGTCACTGCAATGGCAAGTATAGATGTTTGTGCCAACTCGAGGTTCACAGCTGTTACCGAGAAAAACGCGACAGGCCTGGTTTCCCGGTAACTGGTTTGGGTCTTCATTCTACAAACGAAATATCTGCTTCCCCATGTCAAAGAGACTAAAATCCGACTAAAACTGTGTAACCATGGTGCACCAAATTATTGATACTGTTTGAATTTACTTATTTTGTAGGCTGCTACCTCATAAAATTTTGTAAGCGTGTTACAGGTTATGAAAACCAATTAGTTAATATTGTGACTAAAGAATTATTTAGTTGGTACTAAAGGAGCACGGGAAATTTTAAAAAAATGATAGCGCTTATTGAAATTTGCAATTTATAGGCACTGCTTTCTGACATCTGCTGGCATAGCTTTTCGAATATCACAATATTGCAAAACCGCTACTTTCTTAAATAAGTAGGCTGAATATTTCAAAGCAGTCCAGACGAACCTCAATGCAGGCGTCACGCCGTTTTTCACACCTTGGGCCCATGTAACCAGGGAAGCAAAGACAAACAAACGGAAGACTTAAGGAATTCGGCAGATTCACAACCGAAGAGACGCACATTCGTGTACCAAGAGGATCGCATTTCGATTTACCACCGCAGCCATCCTCCAAAATACACGATTTCGTCTCTTTTGACCACACGTACCCCTTAAGTACAAACAATAGTCTGCACATTTCGAACTACATGTTACAGATTTTGATGAGCGTTTTGATTATTTCTTGACCCAGACAGAAGCAGGAATTCATTAAACACTATGATAAACTCTTACGACAGCAGATAATTAAGAGCAAATGCCTTTCCAATCTGTACTTTTCCACTTAAAGGAAGATTTATTTAGCACATGCGATTCCTGTATTTCTTTCCCATCGCAAAATGCAAAAAAGTTACCATGGATCCATAGCATTGATGCTACACCTCACCATGTTGTCATGCAATGTTGTAATTGTAGACAAAAGCGCGATTCTGCTCTTTTTGAATGCATAAAATAAGGTCCAATTCGAATGTTAGCTCACTGAAACCTACTTATTTAATAACCGTAGAATGCTCACTTTCTTGCACACGCATTCATATGCCTGATTTGTGAATGCGGCATAGCCTTCGACCAATTCATCATTTTCTCCAAAATCAAAATGTTTACTCCGGCATATTTGCACTCCATAGATGCGATCGTAATGATGTGATGAGCCTTTTACAAGAGAAATGGATGGCTGAATCACATTATCCTTTCCAAGGCACGGGTTTCCGTAGTAGCGAGCGCAAACGTTGGGGCAAGACGGATGGTAGGTAGAGAAACTGGAATCGCCTCTGCGCAGATAAACAGCTTTACCCCATGCATGTTTGCAGAAGAGGAGCCAAAATAAAGCTTGTGCGTAAAAAAATAGAGTCCACAGAAAACATATGTACTAGTGAATAAGTAAATCAAAGTGCATAAAGGCTTTTCATTATTAAAATGTCAGTAGTGGAGTTCGATAGACTTCGACCCTCCCTCTCATATACTACTCACATCAGTAGTTAGTAGCTTACCAGACATCGATCGACTGTCAGTCCTCGGGACCACGTGAATGCTATCTTTTGGCATATTCTCACCACTCTCATGCATTATTGCCAGAAACTTTGCATAACCACACGCCCAGTCCCGCATCTCACCCTCTCCCAACGGTCTCGCCAACGACTGCGCACACTCCTCCATCACCTCTCGAATTGCCACCAGTCTCTCCGAGGTAATCAGTCCACCCACGTCCCGAAACGGCCTCCCCGGTGTGAGGTCCTTTTGCGAGTAGATGGGTAGGTACATCCACGTCTGCTTGAACAGATGCTGTGACCATGACTGCATCGTTCTTGTGTTTGCTCTTCGCATCTCCCCTACGGGATACGGCCAATGCGAGTAGTTGTGCATGATCTTATCGTAGTCCAAGGCACCATAGATGCCATGCAGAGCTTGGATTGCGCGTTGGCAACGCCTAGATGCTTCTTTATACTTGTCAATTTTGACATAACAGATGTCTCCATGTTGACCCTCTGCTTTTACCACAAAAGTTGCAAACATTTTGCCAAACGCGTCCACTGGATAGCCATGTTGAAGGTCCAAGTGGTGTAAATGGTAAAGAGTGGTGTCATTGAGTGTGGATTTTGAGGCTAACGTTGATAGAAGAAGGCTAACATTAATGAGAAAACGCAAATGGAACATAGCGAAAATTGAGCTTGAGTGAAAATTTTGTAATCGATCAGTGTAACATGGTAATTTAAGGGCGCGTCTCGATTGGACAGATGTCAGCCAATAATAGAGTAGGAGGTTTTGATTGGTACGGACAAATTGGTTTATAGGCCTCTTTTTTGGGGGCGAGATTTTGCAAATATGATGGCTATTCTGTCACGTAAGTCTTTGAGAAAAGTGTATCAGTGGAAATAGATAAGCACGTGCTAATTTGATTTAGAATAGCGGCTTGTTTTGATTCACGAATAGGTTTTAATTGTTGATTGGCTGTTAAGGCTAGAGAAAGGATTAAATGGAAATGGAAAAATCATGGATACAATATGGATGGAAGGAAGAGGGACAAACTTGAATTGGGCACGGAACATACGGTATATAGAAATGGTATAATCAAGGGCTTACCATGGAATGGAGTGGCGGTGAGGTATAATGACTTAATACCAATCCCGCCATCTTCCCCTAAAAAGGATATTTTTGCTTGTCCTAGATTTCCTTTTCACATGCTGTCACTAATACTTATTTGATCACGCGTTTGTAGGGTGGATTCCAGATCTGCGAAATGGCTGTCAAGATCCTACCATGGCATGGGCAGAAACTGCTGCCTGTACTTTACCTGGACACATTTGCGCGGTCATCTTTAGCATTTTAGCCCTTACAAAGTATAACAAAGACAGAGGAAGGCGGGATTGTTCTTTTTTGTTTGAACAGTAGCATGACGTTCATCAATCAGCGCTAGGACATAAAAAGCTGTCCTTCTTGTTCTTATGCAAGGAAGTGCCTTCCTGACATTTCTTATCAGAACCGAAATTTACGAAGGACCTCTACTTCCAGAAAGCAATTTTGTCCATCCCATTCGCATACTTTCATTTGTTTTGATGCAAAATTACAAGGAGTGCTCAAAGGATTTATTGAACTTCTCAACTCGCTGATGGATTCCCCCTTGCTAAGGTCTTTTCACCTTTTCGCTAGCATTAACATAAGTCAGTCCATCCATCATCTTGGCCATCATCCTTTTTATCTACCCACCTACCCATCCATCTCTCCGCTACCAACTTGTTAAACTCACTGGTTGGCGGATTGATTAATTGTCAGGAATGACAGAATCTGGGGAGACTTAAAACAGAAGAGACGGTTTGGCAAGCACTTCAATGGGGCAATTTTTGACAGCGATATCAGGCCAAAAGTTTTGAGCCGACTCTGAAGTAGTTGTGTCTTATCATCTTACAGAGACCTGGAAGTAATTTGAAACAGCTAACAAAGTGAAAACAATGTCAAAGGTTTTGGTGTCAGTAGATTTTGCCAACGTGGTTAACTACTGTGTCACTGATGACACAGTTAGGCGCGATGGTAAGCCAAAGTAGCAGTGTGCGTGTGCTTGTGTGGAGGAATGTGATGGGCTTCGTCTTACCTCGGGCTCTTTATTCTCCATCCACCACAGAAGACCCCAAATGCATCGTCCGTGCTACTGCCACGTCAATTCAACGTGACACATTCAAATGACTTTCACTAGGTAAGATCCAAATAATGGAGGTCGATGCAGAGAGAAGCCAACCAACTCAATTTTGTGGACGACCATTATCAGGGGTGAGAACAACTTTATTTTACCCTATTCACATGCAAGTTTGACTTAACTGATGCTTGTTCCTCTTTTCAGCTGGAAATAAGTTGTAAACATGGCCAGAAATACATAAAGGTCGCGAAGAAGCAATTGATATTTATCAGGAAAGGTCATTTTCCACACAAGGAGACATTTTAGCACTTCAGAGTGGAGGGTTTATTGATTCCGCACAAACAAAAGCGCTTTACAAAATGGATCATTAAGTATAGAGTGAAATCTCCTTACTGGAAAGGAAGAGTATCACGCAAAATATTGAGGAGAGCCACTCATCCTCACAGCACAAGTGATGAGCACAAGAGGGCTTGGAGAAGTGATGATGCTCAAGAGAGGCGAGGACCTATTGCAATGCCTTAAATGTTTGGTAAACTAGAGTTTGATGACATGTTCCTTTGACCTCGGAAATTGCACCTCTATCGCATAACATAGCCCCCCCCCCCCGATTGTAGCA